TCATAAAGTGAAATTTCGAAGCACGATAACGAAACCGTTGCTGTCTGAAAAACACGTCGAAAAAAGACTTGCTTGGGCAAAAGAAAATTTGGACCGCTATTGGGGCAACGTAATTTTTTCAGATGAAGCTTCGTTTTGGGCAAAGTTTTCTATCAGACGTGTCTGGTCTACCCAGGCCAATAGACTCATCGAGCGGACCGTTAAACATCCGGTAAAGGTGCACGTCTGGGGCTGTTTCTCAAAACAGGGATTTGGCACTTTACACATCTTTACACAAAATTTGGATGCTGCTAAAATGGTCCAAATATATGAGAGAGCTTTATTACCATCTACCCAAAGGTGGTTTACGAGGAAGAATGAAAATTGGCTACTGCAAGAGGACAATTGTTTCGGAATTATCGTCAAGTAAATATTCTCCAGGACAACAAAGCAATCGCACATCGATACCGTTCCAAACACGCGTATATCTCTCCTGGACGAACCGCGATGTTGATATCAACAATAATATTTCTTCGTGCCGTGTGAGAACGAGTCACGCGACGCGAGAAAAAACAACGTGGTTATCGTTGGATATCGTCTTTGTCTCGCCACGATAAATTACCGAAATCCGCTTCCCGAAATTATTATTGTTGTTTTCTTTCGGTGAACAAAGCGCGACCCATACCGCAATAGAAGTCTTGTTTGCTGGCCAGATACCTTCTTTTTTTTCGTTATTAGCAGCGAGACCTTCTTAACGTCGAGCAAATTGTAAGATACCGAGATACGCTTTGGAACAAGGGTATCGATTATTATATCGTGCATATCGTCTATCGCCTGCCTCACAGCTCATTGCATCCGAGACACCAAATAAACGGCATTTGTTATAACAAAGAGAGTCATCATTCTTACATCCGTCTTGGCGAACGAGCCTTCCTTACAAGGTGACACCAGCGTCACAACATAATTTTGGTCCTTCGAGCCGGATTCGTCGCCAAGGAGAGTTCTCGATTTTTTCGCCTGATTCTCGAACGTCCGAGTTGTGCCGTTACCGTTGGAAATCATGTCGGCTCTCGATGAACTGATGAGTCTACAAAACCAGCTCATGGGCGTCATATCTCGCACGCTTCTTAATTTTAAGAAGTTGGGACAAGCCAAAATGACACGTGCTGTCACACGGCAACGCCTCACCACCCTCAAGGAGACCTTCGCCAAATGCCAAGAACTAGACAGCAAAATCACGTTAGCTACGGACGAGAAAGTGAAGGCATCCCTTGCGTACTTCACCCAGAACTACTTCCTGACGTGTGAAGATTATTACAACGAAGCTGCTGACTACATGGCTGAGGTACTGGACGGTCACGAGGTTCACGATCCCCAATCCGCTGCACATGACGTAAGTGACCGTAGTCATTTGTTCCGATCATCGTCGCATCTACCAAGGATCAACTTGCCGACCTTCGACGGGAGTCTCGATAAATGGGAAAGCTTTCGCGATAAATTTACATCGATGATTCATAATGATCAAACTTTAACGAATGTCGAACGCATGCATTATCTATGTTCCTGTGTAAAGGGGGATGTAAGTAACGCTCTAGACCACCTCGCAGTAACGAATGATAATTTCAATATAGCGTGGAATATTCTCGTTTCCCGGTACGACAATAAACGTCGCCTTATCACGATACATTTAGACTCGCTCTTCAATTTACCGTCGCTCACGAAAGAGACTTCCAAAGATTTACGCAAGCTTCGCGATCAAACAAATAAAGCGATACAAGCTCTAAGCAACCTCGGTCGCGCTACCGAACATTGGGATGATTGGCTTGTGTTTTTCGTGTCACAAAAACTCGACAAGTCATCGCGAAAAGCTTGGGAACTTAAACTCGGCGATACCGTAGATTATCCGCGTTATTGCGAAATTGATCAGTTCCTTGCATCGCGCATTCGCGCGTTCGACGCGATTGCACCCGCGAACACATCGGAGAAGTCACCGCCGACCTCCAAGAAGAGAACTTTTGCCTTGCACACCGCGACTACCACTCCGTTTTCATGCGCATTATGCAACGCGAACCATTTGCTGTATCAATGTTCTAAGTTCCTAAAGCAAACTCCATCCCAACGGTTTGAATTTATTAAAAATCAGAAACGCTGTATTAACTGTTTTACTGCAAAGCATTCCGTCAAAGATTGTACGAGTCTTCGCACGTGTCGGCAGTGTGGCAAACGGCATCACACGTTGCTGCATTTCGACAATTCTGCTCGACCGGTCGATGCTCCGATGCCGTCGACGTCCGCACCTTCGAGTAGCGAGAGCGTCAACGCTGTCGCTACACATTTATTGTCGAAAACCGTAGCGCCAAGCTCCAACATTTTACTCGCGACAGCACGCGTGCGAGTTTATTCGCCGCAAAACCGTTTCGTTACCGCGCGCGCGCTTCTTGATCAAGGATCCGTCTCTACATTCATCTCGGAGTCACTTGCGCAACGACTACGCCTCGCAAGAATTAATCGCTTTGTTTCTCTCACCGGTATTAGCGAAATGCGATCTGTCGTGCGTCATGCGACCCAAATGACCATTACTCCGGCGTGTCGCGACGGACCTGCTTATATCACTACCGCCTTTATACTTCCTTCTTTAACGAAGTATTTACCGAATCGAGTCAAGATCGCGTATAATTGGAAACACGTCGCAGGACTCGAACTTGCGGATCATGATCCCATGAGTTCGGATC